ATATACAAATATGATTTTGAATCAAAGCTATAATTTTTATATGTATATTAATTTTGTTATACCGATTTGTTAAATACATGAAGTAAAAGAAATCTTCATTGAAATAAGTAGTTTAATGAAGAGCTTGGGTTGTTTTTGTGTGCACAATCAATTGAGTCGCCTAGAACACAACATCATACTTTAAAACTGAAAGCTAAGCACAAAGAATAAAATTTCCCCCACAAGACCGTACCAATCAATCTTTATGATCAATATTGTAAATAAATTTAAGAATATTTAAAAATCTATGGCAATATTTTAAAAATCTATGGCAATAAAGTTTCAAAGTTGCAATTAAATGTTGCCATAAAACATGAAATATCTTAACCTAAAATGATATTCGTATTATTCAAAATAGACAAAAAAATATAGGTTTGATGACAAGTTTTTAGACATTTTTCTCACTTATTTTAAATTTAATTATAATTTTCCAAATTTATTATTTTTCCTGAAACAGATTTTAAAAAAACTGGTATATAACATAGTATTAATTAAACAAAATAGTTTTTTTTTTCTAAATGACCCGCTAAGAAAGACAAAAGCAATTCTTTTTGTTTTTAATTCTCAAGGAACGCTTTATATCGAACGACCTTTCATTGTTATCTGTCCTTAGTGTAAAAATAAATATTGTAAATACAAAAAAAACAAAGATTTATTAAAAATTTTTTTTAGGTAACGGCAATCAACCAGGGGGTTAATCTAAAAATTTTTGAAATTTTTAAAATTTTAAACTGGAATTATGCAAATATTTATGATTTTGCTATAATAAATTAAGAAATACTATTCAAAAGTGATTCAATTTTCGATCCACAAATTGCTCCTCAAAGACGGATTTTTAAATCAAAACGTAATACAGGCACACTTATTTACTCTAATAAACAGAACATGTACAATATGTGCTACTTATTTACACAAATATATGTGTGGCAAAAAATTAAATTAAAAATCAATTTATATAATGATTTTGTAAAAAAACAATTTTAATTTCAGAAACTTCAGCATAACACTAAAGTTTGAATTTTCTACAAAAAATCTTTGTCCTTTAAACTTGTTATAAACGTAATTTTTATTCATTGAATTTTTTTTAAAAATTTCCTTCTTCAGTTTAGCTTGAATAGTGAAAAATAAAAAAGAAATTATTAGCGTGTTGCTTTGTTATAATAGAAAATTTCATTGTTGTTTTATTCTGCCCGTCGCTATTGTAGTTGATTTCAGAAGCATCCAACAATTCTTTGCTATTTTTTTTCTTTTACATTTTTGTTAGAAGCATTTTATCTACTTAAGAGCATCAAAAGAACAGAAATTAAATACGGTTGTTAGCTTTTACGTTATTAATTTTTTCAACGTCTAGAAGAAGGATATGTTTTCGAATTAAAGCATAATTTAATAGACTTAAAAATAAAATGAATTTTCATTACAAATAAAATTAGTACTATGTTTTTTTTTTTGGAATTTAAAGGAGACAATGAAACTATTTTTTGGCGCCACTTCAATAATATTTTGAATAATGTTTTTGTAAAATTGCTTGTGTTGTTTTTACTCTTGCATCTCATGCGATGCATGTGTCTTTTAATAGTTGAATAGAAGATGATATAGATTTAATATTATTATTTTAAATTCCATCGAATTTATGAAAAAATTTTTATACTAGAGGTCTGCGTTCTCAAACTTAAATAAGTTCAAAATTCTTTTAGAAGAATTGAATGAAGAAATATTTTCTTACAAAGCTTAAATATGTATATTAGTTTACGGTTCTGCCTCAGTCTGTTATATATTTATTCATACAATAAAAATGAAAGCAGTCATCATCAAAAAAACTATATAATTTTCAAATCAAAAGTTTAGCATCCTGGGCTTTTGTTTTTCAAAAAGTCTAAATAATAAAATTTAAATTTCATGTAGATTACCATTTTAGGATAACCACGGCTGTAGTCATCATCTTTTTCGGTTTGTTACATTATATACTGTTCGATGTGTTTCCATTTGGATTAATTTCATTGTTTATCTAAATTAATTTCATAAAATATTTGTTTTCAATACCACCGGTGGGAGGATAGCCGACCCAAGTGCTAAGATTCTTCCTTCTGAATTTCTTTTTTAAGTTAAACTTACACAATATTTATTTTAAGAGCTATTGTACAACTAATGAGCGTACTTTACCTTATTGTACAACCTTAATAGTATCAAGTATTAATAATATAAGTATTAGTAATATCTTACCCCTGCTATTTTACAAAAAGGTACATTTCATCGCATATTATAATTTTTTTTTCCATAAATTTTTTAGATATCGCAGATAGTTTGAAAAAAATTGCTAAGTGATTTTCAAATATAATTTTTCAAAAAATCTTCATTTTTTTCTTCTTTTCATTTCATAGAATAAGTCCGAAGCCTTGGCATTCGATTGATTGATACACTAATAATCTTTCTTTTTTCTTAATTTTGCCCCCCATTTTTTTTATTGACAGTGTCATATCAACTGGATTATCAATAAATTGGAAATGTCAAAAAATAATTTCATATTTACTTTTATCATTTTTTAACAGAAATCACTTTAAAAAAAAGAGGACAAGAGGAGTTCTAAGCTGTAGCAGAATACAGTTCCTTGGAAAACACAAAAATAAACCAGAAAACAAATTAAATATCAAAATCAAAAATAAGAAAAGGGATTCTTAAAATATTATTTATCTTTTCTATATCTTTAAGACATTTAAAAGTTCAAAAATCAAAATCTTATGAAGGAAAATAAGAAAAAAAAAAACAATAACCACTATGATAAAATATAGGGTTGGTTGATGGTCACCATTAAAAATGTACAATTTAACTATTTCAAAAGTAAGTTCAAGAAAAAATTCTTAAGATCCAGTTAATTCAAAAAAAAAAATTTTTTTAAGATTACAAACACAACACAACCTATTTCATATTGCTTTAGAAACTTTGACAAATATTTCATAAGGAAATAAGGTATTTGAGAAAATAAATAATTATTTAATTTGGTCTTCCAGAGACTGCCAAACTAATGACAACCGATGTTAATTAAGACAACTTTAAACGAACAGAACAGTTATTAGTGGATAGAAAAGCAAGGAATTTTCATGTTTAGTACACGAAAACTTTTCTTGTTTAGCACTTGTTTCTGGCACCTTTATTACTGGCTCCTCTATTTTTTTTTAGAATTGAAAATTTAAATTTTATCTTTATTCACTATAGTTCAATATAAAATATTTACATAATTTTACGAATGGGAGAATCCTCGTAGACGCTATTAATTCAGCCGTTGCACCATTTGGAGCTTTTTACATATGGTCCATGTTAAAAGAATATTATGTACTTGTTTGTTTTGTAAATTTTGTATTCCTGGTTTCACAATTTTTTTTTTTTTTTGATTTTGAGGTTTCTTTAAATGTTCTTAATTAAGGTTCTTAAAATTAAGTATTATAAAAGAAATAACCATCCAGTGTAAGCGGTTACCTATTAATTTTATAAAGTTTTCATAATTTTCCTTTGCTCTTCAGTATTGGTAACTAAAATTTATGTATGTATGTAAATTTTTAAAAAAAAGGATATCATTTTCGTTTTACGGTTGAATACTATGTAAATGCGTCCATTTTTTCATAAATGCATGTGTGTATGTACATTATGTGTAAAATTATCCGAGAGAAAAAGTTATTATTTGGTTATGTAATTAAGGAGACCTTAATCAACCCTATTTTTGTATTTTGTAATTTTTTTCTTTAAATAAATAAATTGTACAGTTTATGATACCCATGTTTGTAAGTATAAGAGTAAATAAATGGCTTAAAAGGGTATCTAAAAATAATAGAAAAAAAATTGAATTATATTTTAAAACATTGAAAAGATGTTGCATTGAAAAGATGATTGAAATCGATAGTTCTGAGGCTTAGTGTTGGATTCTTAACAGACGCAGTAAGAATTCGTCAATTCCAGTTTGAGAAGCATGTTTTGTTATATTTCAAGACATATTTTTACAATTTTTGGGGTCGGTAAATAGGAACATGAAAATAAAGTATACAGAAAGAAAAAAGCAATTATAAATAATTTTTCCACATATTCTATTACTTACTGATTTATTGTTGAAAGAGATAAAAAGAAAATTTTCACGATTTACAATATTTACCCGGTCAATTCGTTGCTTTTCACAATAAAAGCGGTTGATAATTATATAATTTGTTATTATAAGTTCGACAATAAATTTACAAAACCGAATGTATGATATACGTAGGCCTAAATATATGTACATTTGTATAAACATTAACATTTATGTTTATTTAAGCATAAGATATTTAAGAAAAAAGAAGAAATCATTATATTTTCATGTTCTGGTAATTATTTTGTTGCCGTATTTGTTGCAAAAAATAAAGAAAAATTTTCTTTGAATTCTTCTTAAAAAGGGGTTTTCAATTGAGGTTTTCCTTATATTATAAAAAACCACAAAATAAACTCTTAAAATCTTAAAGGACTACACATGAAATGCTTTTTAAATTATATTTCCCATATATTAAATTTTACTAAAATTAACAGAAAAAAAAGAAAGTTAAAATATAATCAAAATTATATTTTAATTGTATTTCGTACAAATCTTGCCTTTCTCCAAAAAACAAAATTTATGTTACTTTTCATATACTTATGCTCCAATTCAATCTATTGTTAGCTCTTCATCATTACATCAGCTCTTCCAAGTTTTCCTTCTGCTATACAGCCAACTCCGAAACTGCTCCCTAAGTCGCGAATGTACCCTATTCTATGTAAAGACTTTCCCATGACAGAAAATTTCTGCATACCTTAACAATTAACAAGTTATAATCACGCTTAAAATTTATCTAAAAAATATATACTCTATCATGTAAATCAGGAAAACCATTATCTTTTTATAATAAATTTATACAATTATTATTATTATTATTATTATTATTATTGTTATAGTTTTATTTTTAGTCGATATAGGTTTTTTTGTAATATTACATATCTTTTTGTTCAAATTTTATTGAATAGTTCGTATAAAACGTAAAATAAAATTTCTAAACATTTGAATTTCTTTCGTTTATTTTAATATTTTTCATTCCTAATGAAATCTCACAGATTTTACTGTTTTTTTTTTCTGCTGCTGGTTCTGACTCTAAATGATTCCCGACATTCTTACAATCAGAGTTTATTTTAATGAATTGCAAGAGAATATGAACGGCACTTTTATATTCACCTTGTTCAGCTAAATTATATGGTGTTAAGTTATTCGAATTTTTGAGATTATTTTGAATATTTTCAGTTTCACATAAAATTTTTACAATTTCGGCGTGACCATTTTGTGCTGCCAAGTGCAACGGAGTATTTCCTTTGGAGTCCTTGCAATTAATATCAATATCTCTAATTTGTAGTAAACTTAAAAGGCAATCGCGATGGCCTGTCTCAGCAGCTACATGTAAGGCTGTAAATCCGTCGCAATCTTTTGAGTTTGGACCTGTGTTGGCTTTCGCCAAAATTTCAATAACGTCTATATGATTGTTTTGAACTGCTAAATGTAAAGGAGTTCTTCCTTTAATATCTGTAGGGTTTGAGTTTATGCGCTCTCTTAATAACTTTTCTGCAATAGATTTATATCCATATTGCGCACTTAAATGTAATGGTGTTAAGCCTTTGCAATTCATTGTATCAAATTCGATAATTTTATTTTCTAATAATAATTCAACAGTTTGAATGTGTCCATTTTGTATTGACCAATGTAATGCAGTATTATTCTCTGTGTCTTGTGATTTAACATTAACTTCCTTAAAACTAAGCATAAGTTCAATGACACTTGTGTGTCCATTCTGCGCTGCCATATGAAATGGTGTTAATCCGCTAATGTTTTTAGAATTTACGTCAATTCTTTTAGTTTTGCATAATATTTCTACAATTGCGACATGTCCATTTAAAGCTGCGAAATGCATACACGTATTATGCTCTGAATCAATGCAATCAAAATTAATTCTTTGGTCTTGAAGAAAAATTTCAATAATATGCTTATGACCATTTTGTGAGGCCAGATGTAAAGGCGTATATTCTTCAATCATTTTACTATTTGGTTCTATGCTTTCAAATTGGAGTAGATTTTGTGTTATTTCTTCGAACCCGTTATAAGCCGCTATATGCAATGGAGTAAATTTCAAATTACCTTTAGAGTTAACGTCGATAATCTCTGCGGCATCCAAAAATGCACGTGCCGTTTGCTTATGATTACTTTGAATAGCGAGGTGCAACGGACTCCAATCCAAAAAATTTTTACAATTAACATTTATACTTTTCTTAGAAAGAAAAATCTTTATGATACTATGATGTCCATTCAATGCTGCTAAATGTAATGGCGTGCAATCTTGGTGACCTTTTAAATTTACATCAATGTTTTCAGAGAGAAGTAAAATTGAAATAACTTCTACATGGCCATTTCTTGCAGCTAGATGCAAAGCTGACCATTCCTCGGAATTTTTTAAGTTAACGTCAACCTTTTCATGTTTGATTAAGACTTCTACAATTTCTTTTTGACCATTAATTGCTGCAATATGAAGCGGTGCCATACCGTCGTCGTTTACAGAGTTAATATTTAAATGTATGTTATTTACCAAAATCTTTACAATTTCAACATGGCTATTTATTACAGCTAAGTGTAATGGTGAGTTATTTAAATTATTATTCAAATTGATATCTACATTTATTCTGTTTAAAAACGTTTCAACAATGGCCTTCAAACCATGTCTAGCTGCTAAATGCAAAGGTGTATCCATGCAAGAATCTGTTACGTTGATATCTACTGTATCTATTTCTAGCAATGCATGAACTATGTCTTCTCTATTTACTTGTACTGCTAAATGTAAGGGAGTCCAATCCTTAAAGCCCTTAAAATTAACGTCAGGGCTTCCTTTCAATAAAGAAATAACAGCGTTGATATGCCCGTTATACACCGCCAAGTGTAATGAAGTCCAATTTGCACAATTTTTGGTATTGATGTCAATACTACTATTTTCTAATAAAATTTCAATAATGTTTTCGAATCCTTCTTCTGCAGCCAAATGCAAAGCCGTGCATCCATTAGAATTTTTAATATTAACTTCTATATTTATAGTTTGAAGCAAATTTTTGACAGAGTTTGCGTGATTATTTTGTGAAGCTAGATGAAGTGCTGTTTCAGAGCACATGTTCTTTGAATTCACGTTGATATCTTTAAACATGGACAAAATTTTAATGGTGTTGGAAAAACCAAGATTTGCTGCTAAATGTAGTGGAGTATAACCTAAAATATTTTCAACATTAATATTTATGTTTTTAATCTCAAGGAGTTCTGAGACAACTTCATCATAACCATTATAAGCTGCATAATGTAAAGGCGTACAATTGTTGCAGTCTTTACAATTAGCATCTATATTTTGTTCTTTGAGTAAAGTTTTTATCATATTTTTGTCATTATTTTGAGTAGCAATATGTAAAAGAGATAAACCTTTAGAATTTTTTTTGTTAATATCAGCTTTTCTAATTTTTAATAAGTATATAACTATATCTTCATAACTATGTTTGACAGCTAAATGTAATGGTGTATCACCTTCGTTTGTAGTGCTGCAAATATCTACTTTCTCGTTATTTAATAAAGCACGAACAGCCGCTAGATTTTTATTTTCTACGGCTACATGCAGTGGAGTGTAACCATCAACATTTTTTAAATTAACATTAATATTTTCTGAATTTATTAACAAATTGATAATTATGGTGTTACGTGATTGTGCAGCTAAATGTAATGCGGAACCGTAGTTGCAAACAAAATTAACATCAATATTTTTGTTTTTTAATAAAATTTCAACTATTTGTTCAAATTCACTTTCCACTGCCATATGTAACGGTGTCGTTCCTTCGCTGCATTGAGAATTAGTATTTATTTTTTCACTAGATAATAACATTTGAATGATCTCATTTTCTTGATTTATTACAGCAAAATGTAATGGTGAATAATTTTCTGGTCCCTTACAATTTACATCACAACCTTTTCTTATTAGGGCTAAAACAATGTTTTTATGTCCGAATACAGCTGCAAGATGTAATGGTGTAAGTTTTTCTGAATTTTTAGAGTTAATATCTGTGTAATTAAACCGAAATAAAATTTCAACAATTTTCTCATAATTGAATTGTGCTGCCAAATGTAAAGCTGTATTGCCATCTTGATTTTTTGAGCAAATATTAACATCTGAATTTTTCAATAAAATTTCTATAATATCTACATTATTATTTTGAACTGCAAAATGTAAGGGAGTCCGGCCTTCAGAATCTTTAGCATTAATATCTATGTTTCCAGTGTTTAACAAAATTTCAGTTATGTGTTTGTCCCCCTTCTTTGCAGATAAATGCAACGGTGTAAGGTTACCGTGACTTCCAGAGCTAATATTAATTTGTGAATGTTGTAACAGGAATTTTACAATATTTGGATAGCCGTATTGAACTGCATAGTGCAATGCGGAATAATTATAATCATCTACAATGTTAACATCTACATCTTTATATTTTAATAAACACTCAACAGCTTTTTCATGTCCGTTAATTGATGCGTACATTAAAGGTGTTATATTTTTTGCATTTTTATGGTTAATGGTACTTATTTCAGCATCTATTAGAAAACTTATAATAGCCGTATGACCGGAAATTGATGCCGTATGCAAAGGTATAGTTCGTGTATGTGATTCAGCACAAATATTCAAATCTTTATGCTTTCTTTGCAAGAATATTTGAACAAGATCTGTGTGACCATGTAATGCAGCAATGTGTAGTGGAGTATAGCCCTCATCATTTGCGCAATTTATATTTATGTTTTCGTTATTCAGCAAAATTTTTACAACGTCTTGATGATTATTTTGCGTTGCCAGGTGTAATGGAGTGCAGCCTTCAGAAAATTTAGAATTTATTTCTATGTTACTATGCTTAAGTAATGCTTTAACCACTTCTTTATATCCGCTTGTAGCCGCTGCATGTAACGCAGTACCTACTGTCTCATTTTTTAAATTTACATCAACTTCTTTACTTAAAACTTCAACAACCTCCTCGTGACCATTTATTGCTGCCAGATGTAAGGCTGTTAGACCTTTGTTAGTTACACAACATGTGTTGATTCCATTTGTTTGACATAAAATAAATACAACATCTTTATGACCATTTTGTGCTGCAAGATGCAAAGGAGTACAACCTTCGGAACTTTTATAATTTATGTTTTTGTTTTTAGTATAAGTTAAAAGAATTTCGACAATTTTTTTGTTGCCGTTACCCGCTGCTAAATGTAAAACTGTGTAACCATCTCTACTTACATTATTGAGATCTATATCTTTTCTTTGTAATAAAAAACTAATGATGTCAATACGATTATCCTCAACAGCATAAAATAAAGGTGTCCAGAGCAAGTTATCTTTTGTATTTATATCAAGGCATTTATCACATAATAATTGAACAATATCTTTCTGACCATTTTGACAAGCCAAATGTAAAGCTGTACAGCCATTTCCATCTCTAGCGAAAATATTAATTTTTTCAAAATTTAATAAAGCTTCAATAACGTTCTTATGTCCCATATATGCTGCCAAGTGTAAAGCTGTAGAATTTTCAAGATTTGGAAGATTGATATCTATGGTTTCTTGACAAAGCAAAATTTTAATTGTTTCCAAATGATTACTTCCGGCTGCTAAATGTAATGCTGTCCAATTTTTGTATCCTTTACAATTTACATCAAACTTGTGTTTTATTAAAATTTCTACAATTTCACTGTGACCATTTTTGGCAGCTAAATGTAAAGGGTTCCAAAGATTATTATTAGCACAAATTTCTTGTGCACCATTTTCTAAATCAGACATAAAATCGGATACATTATAGGCATGTAAAAAAAATTCAATAATCTCTTTGAAACCGTTAAGAGCTGCGAAATGCAATGCTGTGTATCCCAATTTTGTTTTAATAGTTGGATTTCCTCCTTTTGTTATAAGCATTTTTGTTATTTCTAGATCGCTTTTACAACACGATTTTTTCATGCATTTTGTGAAATTTCCCATTGTTACATGAAAACAAGTAATTCCAAAAGCATCTTTTAAATTTAGAAAGCCTGTTGAGTGGCTTAATGTAAAATTCTGGAGTATAGTTAATAATGTTCCTTTTTGTCGGCTTTTGACGGCATGATGTAAAATTGTTCGCCCATTTTTGTCTAAGTATGTTGTAATGTTTATAAGTCTTTCTTTAATACAAAAACTTAAAATTTTTTCACTTCCGAATTCAGCAGCAATGTGAAGTGGTTTTTCACCTCGAATGTTTTCAGCAAAGACCAAATTATTACTGAAGAGGAATTTGAAGGATTCTATATTATTACCTGCTGAGGCAAAGTGCAATACATTCCATCCATAAAAATCCCTGCCGTTAATATCGGCCCCCTCATTCATAAAATTTCGTATAATCTCAACTGAGCCATTCTGTACAGCTGAAAACAGGTTTAGTTGATTTGTAATGAAATTAAGACAATTTTGATGGTGTTCTTCGAAATGTGAAAGATTCAAGAGTGGTTGTCCAATAAAAATTTCATGTTCTGTTTTTTGAAAAATATTACAGGGACTCTCCAGAATTTCTAGAGCATTTGATACAATTGCCACTGAAGGATTTGCTTGTAATATATCAATTAAAGGATTTCCGTGAGCTAAATAGTTACGTAATTGCTTTCCGGTAAGTGTAGGAACATAAGAATCTAGAAAGGTTAAAATTCCACTATGATTTGAAACAAAATATTTCTTTTTTTCTAGGTAATTAAGAATATTGAAAAGAATCATTTCCTGTGCAGCTAACAAAACCTTGTTTTCCATTAATTTTTGTATAGTCTGCCATTTAGGCTGTTTTTCAATTGAAAATAAATGTTTTAACATTTCAAAATTTGTGAATAAATCTCTCTCAGATTTCTTTTCTTGTTCACAAGCAATTTGTTCAATTGCTTTTTTCACCTGTATTTGTACTTCAACTTCACATGTTTTTATAGCATTGAATATTTTTGCTGGATTTCCATCTTTTATAAATATATTTATAGCATTCATAAAATTTCGATAATTTCCTGCTGAAGAATTTAAAATTTCCACACAATTCTTCCAATCATATTCTTTGAAAAAACTCATAAGCCTCTTTTTAGTTTTCTCATTTAAGTTTTTTGCATATGTTTCCAATTTTTTCCCCCATTTAACGTTAATTTTTTCAATTTCTGAATCACTTGGGTTAGATGGCAAGTTTTCTAAATCAAGTAGATCATTTTCAAATTGCTCGTGTTCTTCCCTTTTTCGTTGTAAATAATTGTAAACTGTTTCAGAATTTTGTTGAACAACGAAAAAAAAGTTTTCGAACTGATCACGATTATTTTCTAGTTTACATTTAAGTTCTTTTATACCGTCAATTTTTCTAATTTCAAATTTTATAAAACGAAAAATTTCGAACAAAATTTCTTTAAATCGCTGATTTTTCAATCTAGAATTTGCGCTTAAAAATATATTTTGTACTAACATCAGAATTTGTTCAAAACGGTTAAAGTTTCTAATTTCTACTGTTTCATATGCAAAAGACTGAATTTCAAGAAAAATATTTTCAATATCATGTTCAACATTCATTTTATCAGTTAATTCTAGTACAGACAATATTTCATGGCCATAATTGGCATTTATGGATTGCTTCTTTTCTTGTTGAGTGAGGATTTCTTCAATTTCATTAAATAAATCGTTCTCATAAGGTGTTGGATTCTTTAAAATATTTTTGAAATCGTTTACCAATTCTCTAATTTTTTTTATGTCCTTAGACTTTTCATTGTAAAAATTTTTGTAATTTAATTTTATATTTTCAGTATTTACAAGTGTTTCGCATGTGCTTATATTATTTTTGTTCTTTGTAATTACTATTTTCATCAATTCAATTATTTTAATTTTAAGGTCATAATTAATACTATTTAAAGCATTTTCGATTTTAATCAGATCTTGTTTAATGTTCAATATATTTTCAGAGTTTTGCGACCTTAAATCAAAGGGCGTATGCAAATGGGATAATTGATTCCGTAACGTTGATACAATTGTTTTCATATTCTTTTCAAAGTTAAATAATAAGACTTCACACAAATCACTTGGCAAATGCGGTGAGTCTGATGTATTTTTTAAATATTCCCCCATTACTTGCAAAGCTCTCTCTACCGCTAAATGACCAAATTGTTGTTGATTTTCAAAGCTCATTAATGCCACTTTAACAAAATACTGAATTCTTTCTAATGAATAAATAGTTTTAAGTGCCTTATAGTCATAGAGCAAATTAATGTTTTCTGTGCCTAAATTACGAATGATGATTTGTAAGTTTTGTAAAACTCCATTTTTATTCCTCTCAAGTTTGCGTGATTTATAGTTCTTATCTTCAATCTCTAAATTTTGTAGCACATTTTCGAAGTAATTTAGATAACCCAGAATAATTTTTTTACTTAATATCGCGTTATAAAACAAATTAATTTCCTGATGTTGTGTGTGTGCAGAAATAAAAGCGATCAACGAAAATTCTATTTGTTCCCAAAGAATTTTGGCTTCAGTAGGTTTTAAAAATTTTTTAAGCAAATTAATGCTTTTGGCGATAAATACAGAAATATGTATAAATTTACTATCCACTTTTTTCTCTTCATTCGAGTATTCGGTATGCAATGTATCTATATTTTCCAACATGAAGTTTATACGTCTTTTGATTATATTCTTGATTTCTTCAAATGACGGATCTATATTTTGGAGTCCGCTTTTGGTATATGAAAGTCTATAAATCGTTAACTTATTTTCAATAAAAATTTTCATATCCTCTGATAGTGGTATATTTCTCAGTTGTAATTCTTCATAAGCTTTTGAAATGATCGTATCTAAATTTTGATGATTTTCAGCTTTTTCAAAACTATTATTTGAGTTTTGATCAATAAGCCTATTTAGTATTTTGATGTCATTTGAACGTATTGCAAAATAAAATAAATTGTTTTTCTTAATTATTCTATCCACTTTTACGGTATCATAATTGGGTTTATCTTGTTGTTGTTTAAGTATATAATTTAAAAGTTCAATTAGTTTATACTTGCAAGCCTGAGTAATTAAATCATCCACTAAAATTGTATTAGTTTTTAATTTTAATATTGAAATGCCCACATCAAGCAATTCCTTTATCTGTAGAATATTTCGTGACTCTATTGATACCCTCATATTAGAAAATAATTCTTTGTAAATACTTTTAATACTTTCTTCTTCCTCATCACCGAATTTTCTTTTATTTTCACTTTTTTTAATAGCATCCGGATCATCTTCACTATTTTCAGCAGGTTGGCTTTCACTGTTAAATTTAATTTTTTTAAATAATGGTTCGCAGTTTTCATGCGCATTATCACATGTGAACATTTGAAAATTACTACTCGAGGTTAATTGTGAATCGTGTTTTTGCAAATTAAAGCTTTTATCAAATTCATCATTGAATTTTAATTTTTTAAATATTGGTTCATTAACTGAAGAGATATAAATTTCTTTTGACGCTAAAGGGATGTTTTTACAAATAATATCTTCTAATTTTTGAAACTCCTCTTTTAACCAAAAAGACTCATTAAGCAGTAAATCTTTATGCTTTTCGGCCAATCTTTCATATTCTTCTCTTAAAGATAGTACCGTTGCGTTGAAGAATAGTTCTGCAATGTTATTGTTTTTATCATGACTACTGCTGTACATTTTTTCCTAAAAAACAAATGTATTGGATTTTTGATTATTTAAAATAAGTTTATAAAGGAATAGATGGTTTACGGCTATCATGAACTAAATATGCCTTTGATTATCTACACCAGCACCCGGCAAACTATGACCCGCGGGTCACGAAGTGACCCGAAGCATGATTTTATGTTACCCGCTTCGAGTTTTTAAAGTAACTTTCCAAATCTATGTAAGAAAAATAACAAAAAATTGAACGAAATTAAAGAATTTCTTATTTTCCAAACCAAATTTTGGATAAATGTTATAATTGTGAACAAACATTTTCACAAATGAAGTATATATTAAATAAAAACAAGAGTAGTTTGACTACGGAGCATTCTGATGAATGTGTCCGACTTAAGGTATCAACATACGAACCAAACTTGTCCAAATTAACTGCAACAGCACAGCATTATGGAAGTCACTGATTTTGAACTTATAATATTAAATATTGGTTTTGTTATTTTTTGATTTATTTTTATTATATGTGTATTGAATTTATTTCTGTTATGTTTCTATTTATTTTAATATATAATAAATGAATTAACTTTTCGTTTAACTATTCTTTTTAATTACTTTTTTATAAAATTGCCGCTGACCCGCTATGAGTTTAAAAAAATCTGATTTTTGACCAATTTTACCCACGACCAAAAAAGTTTGCCGACCACTGATCTACACCGTTTTGCTAAACCAAATTTTGAATATCTTCTTATAAATTTACATTTGAAAATATGTATTTGCTTTTATCGAGATATTCTAATTGGTTGCTTTTTTAAAAGAATTATAAAATTTTTAATTTGGCGTAATGGAGGTACGGGGTGATTCAAAAAGGTTATAATTATAATAAAGGTTTTAAAAAAGTTTAAAGCTTTAGAGAATGGTTATTATTTGGTTGAAAAATATGTAATACTAATTGATAATTGCAGCAATTAAAATCAACAAAAAAAGGAAAAATAGCTTCAACACTTATTATGTATATCATGAGTTCGTACAGCAGTTAATAAGCAATCGGGCTGCCTAAGTATGCAGCAAATTTATAATCAAATTAGAGAATAATCAAAAACAACTTGTCCACATTAGTTTGCTAGCACATGATTCGCATGTAAATAACAAAATAAAAAACATTTACATAAACTTTTACCTAATTTTTTCTCTCCCACTTAATTGAGCTTTTAAGAATTTTAATATCTTAGTGTGCATAAATATCAAATTTTAGTTTCAAATACTTAGTAAAAATTTTATATGATTTCAATCACTTATGATTAGCGTCCTCAAAAAAAGACAGTAATTATATTTGAAATTAAAAAACATATTTACAAACATTTCATCGTTAATAAAACAAAAACTTTGTGTAAATGTTGCTAATAAATTGAGCGATTGAAAAATATTTATGATTTTTTACAGTATGAGTAAACAGTCCAAAGATGTGAAATAGTGGCGAAATACTGCTTTGGCTTTCTTTATCTCTTTTGTCATATACTTAAAAATTTTAAAAAAGCTTTGAAGCTACATCATCACAAATCACAATATAAATATATTTTATGCCAATCTTGCCAGATTATCTATGTGTTTGTATGTATTATTCTTATAGGCGCATATATTATACAGTTTTTATGATAGCAAAGCTTAAGTTTTAGACGCTTTTATGTCGATCATTTTGGCTTTCTTTTCATTTCCAACAATAATTGGAGTAATTTTGAATAAAGTTATAATCAGTCATGTATTATGTATGTACATAAAATTGTGTTGTTAAAATTCCGATTTATTGTAAAGTTATGGTAATACTTGTTATTACCATAAAAAATTTTGTTAAGTTTTTAATTGATTTAAATAATTTCTTTTAATTTTACTCACATGGCATTTTGGCTATATGGCTTTCAGTGTAATTATTAAATATTTATATTTATGTATACATGTATATACACATTAATTATTTATCAGATCAAATACATACATTTATAAATATTATAGATTTATGTGATCTGAAAATATCAAAAGTTTAATAGGTACATATGTATGTATGTCCATAATGTCATGTTCTATTCCGCTGTTTATCACTTTCTGCTGTATTCAACCAAAATGATTTTATTAAATTGTAATGTTTAATTGCACTCACAATATTCTGCAATGATAATTTTGAAATATTTTTAAAATAATATTTATTTGGGACTGCCCAGGATCAGGAGAAATTAACGCCGCGAATTTAACTGCCGGCGGAAAACTAGTCTGAATTCCTATTTTACAGCTGGCGTTTTTTATTTAACATAATCTGTTTACATGTGTATCTTACATTTTATGTAAAAAGAATTTATCAAAAAGTTGTTCAAAATGTTTTTTTTGTGAACTTTGAAAAATATGAAAAAAGATGCAAAAAGTTCCAATTCTAAAAAACTTCAATAGCATTGCTGAAGCATTCGGTAGCATGAAGCATGAATTCAGTAGCATGAAAACTTTTATATCTTATTTTGAAGTTTTGCACAAAAAATATGATCAACAAACCTTCATTTTGAAGATAAATTTTCATTCTTGGTAGCGTTGCATGCCACTACATATAACATAAAAATTCACAGAAAGTGCTTTTTTATGAAAACTTGGAAAGCTTTCTTCAGCTGATCACTTGAACGAAATAACAATTTGTTGTTTATAAATAATTTTGCACAATTTTTATTATACGCAATACACCTAGATAGAATAAGCAATCACACCTGAACATAAGTAAAATATATTATACAAATAGATAACTTTGTTAAGAAATAAGTTCAAAATTGTTTAATTTAAATGATATTTTTGTACAAGTGTTCGTTGCTTATAAATTAAAGTACATATACACATACATATATATATTCTTATATGAACTTCGAACGCAAACAATTTTTGACAATTTGCACTTCGTACATTTTTACTTTGTTAGTTCTTTAAAAAAGAAAGTTTTGATTGTGGAAGCGCTTACTTTTATCATATAAGGCATTGAAGTTTTATTAATTTTGACACCCGGAATTGTTTTAATAAAATCAAAGGCATGTTGAACCTCCCGAAATTATAATTGAAATGGAAACTGTTAAAATTATCGATTTGGATAAGTCAACAATGCTACTTTAAAAAACAACATCAAAATGCAAAAACTGCAAATTAACTTTGCCGCACAACCACTTCGTAGACAAATTTTTTTATTTCTATATTTTTTTTTCATAAATAAATAACAGTTAATAATAAAAGAAATTATGAATTAAATAAACAAACAAAAATAGAGAAAGTAAAACAAAAACGCGTCTGTCATCCCATTATATAACCTTAAGGCATAATTCACAGTCCAAGGGCGTAAAAAAAACAAAAATAATGTAAAGAAAATAATTTCTGCCATCATTTCATCAGTTCTTACTCTTATAACAAATTTTAAATAAACAAACAAAATAAGTAGCTCTTATTCTTATTGTAATCATTTGGAGAAAAAGAACTTAAAAAATTGTGCTTCAATTTAAGTATGCACAATGAAAAAACATAACTTAGAAAATTGCCTATGGGACGCATCACTTAACACAAGAACGAAATGAATAACAAATTTAGGGCATAAAAACGATAAAAGAAAATGTGGTCAACTTTAACACTTGAATAAAGTGGTCCCCAAAGGATTTTAGCATATCATCATAATCATCATCATCATCATCACTATGAATTTTTGTAGCGGAAAAAAGAAATTCTTGTGTTATGTTAGTTACATAACAATAACAATGAAAAGTAATCAAAGGAAAAGTATAATAACTGTATTAATTCAAAAAAATGGATTGCAAAATGTTTCCGTTTAAGTGGTTTTTGCAGTTCTTGACTACATTAACCAACTTAATGCTTCCATATTTAAACATATTTAAATTTCTTGATTATGTATGTACGTACAAAAAGTTAATTTTTGGATGAATGCACCTATATTATTGGACATATTTAATTATGAAAATAATCTTTTAGTACAAATAAATTTCAAAAATAAGCCACCCCTTGCAATTTTTTACATTCTTGTAGTCGACGAGATCTTGATCAAAGAAATTTTAATATGCAAGTAAAAACCGTCAAAATATGGATTTGCTATGTGAGATTCTATGAACGATTTTAAAAGATTAATAGCCATTCGCATCAATTATATATTCAATCTAGTTGTTTTGGGAGTTATTTGAATATTAAGAATTTTCTCACGAACATCTTTTCCCTTTTCATATCTAAGGAAGAACAATAAATAAACAAATTGTTTAAAAAAATAAACACGACGCAAAATATAAAGACGTTATCAGCGATTTTTTTCTTCTTATTTTCCATAAAAAAATTCTAACCATGCTTCAAAAGATTTTTATTTTCCTCTTAAAAAAGGCAGAGTAAACAAGAAAAGCAGGAGAAGAATATAAATCTCTTATGATTAAAGTCGTGAATTATTTTGGAAATTTTTTGATATTTAAAAGAACCTGAATCATTTTTGTATTAAATAACATGAAAATTAAATTAATTGTTCATTTTAGATGGATTTAATTGGAGTAAAATATTAGAAGTAAAATTTTAAAAATTTTTAATTTGCCATATTAAAGATTCTTTGAGCATTTATAGTTTAAATTCTTATTTCATTAAAAGTTTCATTTAAAGAGCTTAGTTTTTTTATTTGAATAAAATTGGAATGATCAGAAAAAGAAGTTGAAATCTTGCTGGTTCAAAAATCCATATTCTTATAAAAATATTGATCCGTGAGAGTGATGTTGCACTAAACCTTTAGGAATTTAGTATAGCTTCATCTTTCTTCTTCAGACATTGACGCCCACATGAAGAGACTCAAAAAACTCTTTGAACCGGTGTGGAGATTTAATTCCTCACAATTGTTTAAGTTGTGTCCATACCGAAGTGTCCGAAGGAGTACGAAAATCATTAGACGCTTGGTCTAGCAAATAATGATGATGCATTACATATTAGTACAATAATAGGTAGTTCGATTTTTGATATGAAAGCTACCAC